GGCGCGACGGCGGCGACGACAGGGGCGACTCCAGCGGCGTCCTCCTCCTCCTGGGCATATTTCATAAGAGACTAGGGCGACACAAGTGGAAAAACGAGGGACAATTTCTCCTGCCGCTTCACTGCGGCAACTCGGGCAAGCGCGCATGGCGTTCCTACGCCCGCTCTCTGGCGTGCTACTCAAGGCGCCTGCTGGCATTTGGATTGCCTTGGTGCCACGCCGGCTATTTCGTGGTAGCCACCTGTGTGTGAGCCTTGGTGCGAGCGAATCTGAGTGTGAGTGATCTAAGTGTAAGCGAGTCGGATTGCGAGCGAATCTGAATATGATTGAGTCTAAGCGCGAGCGAGTCTGAGACACGTGTCTGAGCGTGAGCGAGCCTGAGTGCGAGTGACTCTGAGCATGAGTGTATGAACGATATGCGGGCGAAGAGGAGGAAGAAACGGAGGAGGAGAAGGAGAAGGAGAAGGAGAAGGAGAGGGAGAGGGAGAAGGAGAAAGGGGAGGTCCAGAGACGTCCTAGTAATAACACGAACCCATGTCTTGGGATATGGGGATAACCAACATAGTATCAGAGGTTCGGCTCCCTCCCCCACCCATGCACTTCTCCGTCCTAACCTGAGGTGCTCCGTGGAATGTTCATCTTGCAGTTGTTGTAGAGAGCTCGTCCCCAAGAAGGTCATTGGTCAGCGTCGCTGCTGCTCAATAGAAAAGCCCCTCCCCTCGCCAAGGGCCTCCGCCCACAGCTGTTGCCGGAACATCCCGTGCGGCATGGACTGCACCTGCCGTCCAGGGCGATGGACGGGAGAGCGAGGGACGAGACGTAGGGAGGAGAGACGACGACGGAGGAGGGACGAGGCTGGGGACGGAGCAGGGGAGATTGGAGGGGAGGAGGGAAGAAGGGAGGGGGCCGGAGGGAGGGAGACAGAACACGGAGGAAAAGCGAAGGGAGGAAGGAAAGAAGGATGCATGGAGACGCCCCCAATAGGGGGCCACATGCGAACCCTACCCCTGACCCCCACGACTTCTGAGGGGGAGGGTGGGGTTCACTTCGTTCGGGAGCTCTCGAGCGAAGTGAACCCCACCCTCTCCCTCAGAAGTCGTGGGGGGTATGGGGTAGGGTTCGCATGTGGCCCCCTACCCAACTGGGCTGACATGTTGAAGCCTCGGGTCGGCCTCGGCCGCAACAGAGCAGTGGCGCCACGGAGCCGGAGCCGGCAGCCGACGGCGGCCTCTGCAGGGCCACTCCAGGGAGAAGCGGGCCCGTCCAGTACCCCCAACACCGCCACTCCTCCGCAGACCAGGGGAAGGGAGGGAGAGAGGAGAAACAGGAGGGCAGCACACCAGGAAGAGAGGAAGAATAATAGCTCAGCGAAGGACCCAGCCATGTGCAGCTGCGAGCATCGCGGGGCAGGTGGGATGGAGCAGGGGGGCCAGCACAGGGAATGCGGCGCTGCACGGAGAGGAGCAGCGGGCACGGGCTCGCGGTGGGGGGTTGCGCTGTGTGTGGCCCGAGCCGCGGGCGCAGCCCGTGGTCGCGCCCATGGTCTTCCCAGCTGTTGTCGCCCTCCCTTGCTTCCATTTTGAGGGGGCCCTGGAACACACAACTAAATGCATACAAACAAAAATATTCCCCATATTCTCCATTTCCTACATTCCCCATAACTTCTTGGAAATATTCCCCCTAATATTCCCCCTAATATTCCCCCTATATTCTCCCTAATATTCCCCCTATAACTTCTTGAAAATATTCCCCATATTCTCCATTTCCTACATTCCCCATTTTCCATATTCCCCTATAGTCCCCCTAATATTCCCCCCCATTTCCTACATTCTCACATATTTTTTTGGAAATCGACGATTAACTGTGTCTGCGTGTTTTTTTCCCTCCTGAAATGTTGCGTTGCGTGCTGGCCCGCCCGGCGCCGCAGAGCGTGTGAGGGGCTTGCCGAGAAGCGGGCGCGGGCGCGCCGTGCGGACCTTGCCGCGGAGGGTGTCGGTGGGGCTCCCCAACGAAGCGTGCAACGGGCGTGCCGAATCTCAGGCGCGGGTGCGCCGTGCGGACCGTGCCGATGAGGATCTCGGTGGAGCTCCCCACGAGGCCACGGTAACGCGGGAGGGGCGTACCGGATCGGGTGCGGGTGCGCTGTGCGCACACTGCCGCTGGGGCCTTCGTTGGAGTTCCCTGCGGGGCCACGAAAGGCGTGGGGTCGACGGCGGAGCTCCCTATGAGGCCACGGAGCGTGTGAGGGGTGTGCCGATGCGTGACCGGCGCGAAGGGCAGGGGCAGGCATGCGAGGAGGGAGGAGGAGGGAGGAGGAAACGAGGAAGGATGGATTCTATCCAGAAAAAGGACCCAACACCACAGGAGGATTGGTATAACAAAGGAAAACATTATCCCAGTGCGACCCCACCTAGAAGTTGGAACCTCTAGGAAAGCAACATTAGTAGGAGCGGTAAACGCCGTCCTCATCGTTCTCCTCATCGTCGTAGTTGTAACAGTAGTAGTAGTAGTAGTAGTAGTAGTAGTAGTAGTAGTAGTAGTAGTAGTAGAGTAGTAGTAGTAGTAGTAGTGGTAGTAGTAGTAGTAGTAGTAGTAGTAGTTGTACTAGTGGTAGTAGTAGTAGTAGTAGTAGTAGTAGTAGTAGTAGTAGTAGTAGGTAGGTAGGTAGTAGGTAGTAGTAGGTAGGTAGTAGTAGGTAGGTAGTAGTAGTAGTAGTAGTAGTAGTAGTAGTAGTAGTAGTAGTAGTAGTAGTAGTAGTAGTAGTAGTAGTAGTAGTAGTAATAATAGTAGTAGCAGTAGTAGTAGTAGTAGTAGTAGTAGTAGTAGTAGTAGTAGTAGTAGTAGGTAGTAGTAGTAGTAGTAGTAGTAGGTAGTAGGTAGTAGGTAGTAGGTAGTAGTAGGTAGTTAGGTAGTAGGTAGTGGGTAGCAGGTAGTAGGTAGAAGGTGTAGGTAGTAGGTAGTAGTAGCAGTAGTAGTAGTAGTAGTAGTAGTAGTAGTAGTAGTAGTAGTAGTAGTAGTAGTAGTAGTAGTCGTAGTAGTAGTAGGTAGTAGTAGTAGTAGTAGTAGTAGTAGTAGTTAGTAGTAGTAGTTAGTAGTAGTAGTAGTAGTAGTAGTAGTAGTAGTAGTAGTAGTAGTAGTAGTAGTAGTAGTAGTAGAGTAGTAGTAGTTAGTAGTAGTAGTAGTAGTAGTAGTAGTAGTAGTAGTAGTAGTAGTAGTAGTAGTAGTAGTAGTAGTAGAGTAGTAGTAGTAGTAGTAGTAGTAGTAGTAGTAGTAGTAGTAGTAGTCGGTAAGTAGTAGTAGTAGTAGTAGTTAGTAGCAGTAGTAGTAGTAGTAGTAGTAGTAGTAGTAGTAGTAGTAGTAGTAGTAGTAGTAGTAGTAGTAGTAGTAGTAGTAGTAGTAGTAGTAGTAGTAGTAGTAGTAGTAGTAGTAGTCCCACCAGCCCTTTGGGCGTGAGTGGTTTAGAGAGCCCCCTCTGTTCTCAACCCCCTAACCCTCTATCTTCCCCTTCGGGGATGTGTTTACCCCTCCCCCTACCCCCTCCCCTGGACCTGGAGAGGGCGGGCCGAGTGGTGTCAAGGGGGTCTTATTCGACTCCTGGGAGGGCCAAAAAACGACGACCCTCACGAGGATTCTGGTCCCGAGGGGGGGGTAGTTTGGCCCCTCAACTCGTCTTTGAAGCCAAAAACATTGATTTTACCACGGTTTTGGCCCCATTTTGGCCTTCTGAGGGGGCCGCGCTCATCTTCCTTCCTAGCAAAATCATTGATTTCACGAAGGTTTTGGGCTCATTTTGTCCTTCTCAGGGGGCAGCGCTCATTTCCGCTTCTGAGGAAGTCGCAAGAGGCCCCAAGATGGCCCCAAGAGGCCCCCAGGAGGCTCCCAGAGAGGCCTCCAAGAGGCCCCCAAGAGGCCCCCAAGAGGCCCCAAGAGGTCACCAAAAGGCCCCCAAGAGGCCCCCAAGAGGCCCCAAGAAGCTCCAAGAGGCCCCCAAGAGGCCCCCAAGAGGCACCCAAGAGGCCCCAAGAGGCTCCAAGAGGCTCCCAAGAGGCCCCACGAGGAGCCCGAACGACTCACACCAGGACGAGGGGCCCGAACGACTCACACCACGAAGAGCCCGAACGACTCACACCACAAGGAGGGCCCCGAACGACTCACACCAGGACGAGGCGCCCGAACGACTCACACCACGAGGAGCCCGAACGACTCACACCACGACGCGGGCCCCCAACGACTCACACCACGGGAAGCCCGAACGAGTTACACCAGGAGGAGGGGCCCGACCGACTCACACACGAGGAGGGGACTCATACCACGAGGAGCCCGAACGACTCACACAGAATGAGGGACCCGAAGGAGTCACACAAGGAAGGACGAGGGGCCCCAACGACTCACACCACGAAGAGCCGGAACGACTCACATATCTGCAACGCACACAGACGCGAACTCTCGCATTATCTCTGGAGGCCCTCCCGTGGCACTGCAAACCTGCAAGTTTAGGGGAGGCCTTCTTGCTGCTTTGTTGTTTTTTCTTTCTTTGATGGGCAAGGGCGGGTGCAGTTCAACCAGCACGTTGCATAACGCACGACGCGCCTACTGCGCACGAGCGCGCTAGAGGATCATCGGAGGTTCGTCTTCCAGGCCTGGCGAGGGCCCGATCGACCTCCTAAAAAAAAATCGCGAAACCTCTCACCCACTTGGCAGCGAGGGACAGGGTGCCCTAATCCCACCAGCCCTTTGGGCGTGAGTGGTTTAGAGAGCCCTCTCTGTTCTCAACCCCCCCTCTTCCCCTTCGGGGAGGGGTTTACCCCTCCCCCTACCCCCTCCCCCTGGACCTGGACAAGGAGTCCGGGGTGGGGTCAGGGGGGCCTTTTTCGACTCCTGGGAGGGCAAAAAAAAACGACGACCCTCACGAGGATTCTGGCCCCGAGGGGGGGAGGGAGTTTGGCCCCTCTGCTCTTCTTTGAAGCCAAAATCATGGATTTTACTAAGGTTTGGCCCCATTTTGGCCTTCTGAGGGGGCCGCGCTCATCTTCCTTCCTGGCAAAATCATTGATTTCACGAAGGTTTTGGGCTCAGTTTGTCCTTCTCAGGGGGCAGCGCTCACTTGCGCTTCTGAGGAAGTCGCAAGAGGCCCCAAGATGGCCCCAAGAGGCCCCCAGGAGGCTCCCAAGAGGCCTCCAAGAGGCCCCCAAGAGGCCCCCAAGAGGCCCCAAGAGGCCCCCAAGAGGCCCCCAAGAGGCCCCAAGAGGCCCCAAGAGGCCCAAGAGGCCCCCAAGAGGCCCCCAAGAGGCCCCCAAGAGGCCCCCAAGAGGCCCCAAGAAAGCTCCAAGAGGCCCCCAAGAGGCCCCACGAGGAGCCCGAACGACTCACACCAGGACGAGAGACCCCAACGACTCACACCACGAGGAGCCCGAACGACTCACACCACAAGGAAGGGCCCGAACGACTCACACCAGGACGAGGCGCCCGAACGACTCACACCACGAGGAGCCCGAACGACTCACACCACGACGCGGGCCCCGAACGACTCACACCACGCGGAGCCCGAACGAGTCACACCAGGAGGAGGGGCCCGAACGACTCACACCAGGATGAGGGGCCCGAACAACTCACACCACGAGAAGCCCGAACGACTCACACCAGGACGAAGAGCCCGAACGACTCACACCACGAAGAGCCCGAACGACTCACCCCAGGAAGAAGGGCCCGAACGACTCACACCAGGACGAGAAACCCCAAACGACTCAAATCACGAGGAGCGTTTTCTCTCCCTCCTCCTCCGCC